GGAATTTAGTAATTAAATTAGTTTAATTTCTTGTTTGTTCTTGTGGATCGATACTTGGACTTGCCATTATTCTAAAAGAATTTGGTATAGTTTAGTGTTTATATTTGGTGTGTGTGCAATATCAGAAGAGTGAAACAATTAAGCATGGTACCAAAAGATGGAGATACCAAAACAATTAACTATTTTCTCCCCAGTGACATTATCAACAAAGTCAATAACAAGGAGGGAGTTTGGCACAGCACCCCACACACACACACACACACACAAAAATCAATAATAATAATAATAATAATAATAATTTAGCTTATTTATTTTTATATACTGTAGTTGTCTAGTTTAAATTGTTTAGTTAGTGGTTCTTGTTAGTTTAATTGTTTAGTGGTTTAGTTTTTATTTTTATTTTCTGAATTTTTATTTTATTTTATTTTCTTCTACTAACTTAGATTATTTTATTTTATTTTCTTAATTATTTATTCCTTGTATTTCATGTTTGGGTTTGTCAATTTGTCTCATGCTAACTTGGTGTAGGCTAATTTTTTTTGTAGTATATATATAAAAAAATAAAAAAATAAAAAAAAACGCCAGTGGTGTGATGGCAATGAGATTTTGAGTGATTTGTGTATGCATGCACTATTTGATGAGTACTGATATAATAGTTCAACGTTTTTTATTATGTTGGTTGTGTTATTTTGTGCAGATATGTCTACACCATCCCGTCGAGTACCCAAACGGCATCACAATGCCAACATTGCCGCTAGGAACGTACCGACCGACTCCTAGGCCAACAAACCAATTTCTTGTGACACATCCTTTGATGTGGACTTCTTCCGATGCTATTAACCCACTGCGTGGAATGTCCGACAGCTTGAAGACTGGGGCCTTCTAGGCATCTGCACCGTTACTGAACCAGCGTATCCTCACATTGTGCAAGTCTCTTACCAGAATATGTACATCAGTGACGAGGCCCCTGGAGCTCTTTTGTCCATTGTTGACGAGGTGGAGTTAGTGGTCACGCCAGCTTCTATTGCCGAGGTTCTCCACTGTTCCATGGACACTATCAATGAAGAGCAATTCCCGGTATTCACTCGGGAACCCATAGTCCCAGCATTGGTGGCTGAATTTTATGAGGGGCAGTAGAATGATGACAACCACACTAGCATCCGTTTAGCTAACTTACCGCGCCGCCTCCTCTTCCTTAATGTGGTTCTAAAAAAGAATGTCATCCCTCTAGGCCACAAGGAAGAGCGATGATGGGACTTCCTCCATGCCTTGCACCGATTTGACTTCAAATTTTGGGTTGACACTCCTATTTTGATCTTTAACCAGATGAACTGTATCCTTAATGAAGTCAAGTTGCGGAACACCCGAGGCGGTTCTACATGGGCCCTCCCTTTCGCCAACCTCATCACTGCACTCATAAAAAGCCGAGGGACATACCCACTGGAACCCAATGAGGTTTAGCTTCCGCCACCAACGCTTTATGGTAAAACCCACTGGCGCCAAACCACTACTCGCCTGCCACCTCCACTACTCCTTCCCGATGCCCCGGCCAATCCTCATGATATTCTGGTAGAGCCCGCCGCCGCATCAGTCCCAACACCACCGCCATTCTGTATGACATGGGCGTAATATCAGGCTCTTTTGGACAATCAAGCCGCTATTCAACAATCTGTGGTTGATCTCTGGGCAGACAATCATTCATATTGGGATCACTCACAGATAGCCTTTGATGGGTATCAGCAATCAGTTGCGTCTTTGCAAACTGACTTCTACTCATATTGGGAATCGAGCCAACAGTGGTTTGATCAGCTTGGTACTAGGGTTCATGATGAGGCGTTCGAGACTCGAACGCCGATGCATGCCCTATTTGAGCAGCATTTTCTGCCACCGCCGAATTCAAATCAGTGATATCCGTTGTATTTTCTTTGCTTTAGTTCTTTATTTATTTTTGTTTTGTTTTATTTTTCTTTTCCTTTTATCTTGTACAGTTCACCAAAAAAAAAACAAAAAAACAAAAACAAAAAAAAAGTGTGTGTGTGTGTGTTTGGTATGTCATTACCTCGCTGGATGTGCGCCTACACCGTCTAGTAAGATCCTCTCTCTCTTATTTTACTATCTACTTTCCAGTTGCCTACATTGAGGACAATGTTGTACTCCAGTTGGGGGTGAGGATTTTTATAAAAACAATTCATGTTTGTACTTGGTTCACTTGTTTGCACCATTTCACTTGATGTTCACTTTGTGTCAGTATGGTAGTGATATGAGCATATGTTAATTGGGAAACATAGTAGGCTTGTATGAAAAGGATTTATTGGATAGAAACTTGCATGTGATGTTTGCACTAAGAGAGTTGTTTGTGTTTGTGGTATTAGTACACTTGTCATGAGTAGGCCTTGATTCACATGAATACACTTTCATAACAATGACCTCTATATTCTAATCGCTGGTGTACATCATTGATAATTGTTAGGGTTACAGAAAAGAATAAATGAATAACCAAGATTCTTAAAAAAAAATAAAAATAAAAAAACACTTGACTTGTTCGGGTTTGTAGCCTCTTTAACTCGAGTTATTAAGCCCATAGGGGTGTCTCTACACCTAGTGCACTAAAACCATCTGGTTTGGAAGTCATTGGCCCAATACTTACTACATGGATTAATTAGAAAACTTAAGGGATCTAGACATTGCAAAGTTAAGGAAAAATAAGGAGAATGACTTGTTCGGATTCTTAGCCTTTTCAGCTTGAGTTATTAAGCCCGTAGGAGTGTCTTCACACCTAGTACCCTAAAACCCTCTGGTTTGGAAGTCATTGGCCCAATGCTTACTACATGGGTTGACTAGAAAGTTTAATGTATCAGAACATTGCACAGTCTTTCAAAAAAAAAAATTGAGAATCTTGGTTGTAATAGTTTAGTTTTTCTGGATATGTTAGGTGTTATTATAAGTTACGCTGGGCTATTATAGTGGACAGTTAACTAGTATGAAGATTGCACTTTACACCAAGGGTCCTGATGATGTGTCTACTAGCATTCACAAGTGCAGGATACTTTACTTTTGTATTAACTGAATTGTGGTTTTGGCTCAATAGATTCCTTCATACTTGCCCACTGTGCCTTCAATGATTCATCATGTCTTAATATCACACTGCAGTGGCACATAAGTTGATTGTTAGGTGAAGTATTGTGGTTAATTGTTGTTGAGAAGATATGAATATGTTGATATTTGTGGGTGTCATTTCTGGAAACCCTCATGAGATTACACTCGTCCACTTGGGCTAACCTTGTGGTTTAAAAGACTTGTTGCATATGCTAAATGCAATCGTGATCCCTACAAAAGTGGCTTAGAGTTATTTTACTTTTCTTATTTCTTTTGTTTTGCTTGAGGACTAGCAAAATGTACGTTGGGGGATGTGATGTAAGCCGAAAGGTACCACATTGAGGCCACTTAAGTTACAATTTTTGTCTTTCAATTTTGTTCATTTGGTAGAGATGATTGTTTGGTACACTTGTACAGATTTGGCAGAAAATAAGCAAATTCAATCAAAAAGGGCGCGAAAGTAAATTCTCCATGCGAGAAGCGAAAAAGCCAAGCCAACCACCTCACCACACATGCGGCCAAGCTTCACCGCACGTGCAGCCCACCACCGCTCGAGTGGCCCACATGGGCGCTCGAGCAGCCCACCTAGGGTTGCATATGTGAAAATTTTGGGCTTTTCTGTTGGGAATAAAAAGAAGAAAAAAGCGGGCTGAAAAGGGTTCAAAAATTATTCTAAGAAAATGGAGGCTAAGGTTTAGAGAAAGTGATTTTTCCTCAAGCTTCGAGGAGAACTTTCATGGGGGCTTCCACCTCTTCCCACTCCTCCATGAGTGGCTAGGCTTTTCTTTTCTAGGGTTTTGATGAAACTCTAACCATGTAAAGGGATTTTTCTTAAGCTTTAATTGTAAATGGTTTGAATAAATGTATAGATGATTTAGAAGTTTATAATAATTGTTCTTTTCATTTCTTCAAGTATTTTACTCTCCGATTGTTTAATGCTTTCCATACATTAGTTTTCTTTATATTTGTGTTCAAAGTACAAGACGAGTCTTGCTACGAGAGACGGGTCATGTTACTACCATAGTTTAGAGCAAACGCCTCGTGCTGCTCCGGATGATTCATGCCTGTACATTTAATGCAACAACCCTCTTGATCAATATTTCAAACTTGTAGTTGTGAAATATTTGGTATTTCAAACCGGATTGCAATTGATGGCCGATGTTAAATCTCATTTATGTGGTTGGTGGTGAATTCTTTGCCCTAGGATTTGTCCCAAAAATTAATATCTCAAATTTTAATTGTCAATTTAATTATTCAATTTCATTTAATTATTGTTTAGTCATAATATCCTGCAATCTTTTTAATCAAAATTAATTTAGAAATTTAGCAATTAAATCAGTTTAATTTCTCGTTTGTCCCTGTAGATCGATATCTGGCCTTGCCATTATTCTAAAAGAATTTGGTATAATTTAGTGTTTATATTTGGTGTGTATAACGACCCATCATGTAGCATATCTGGTGTAGAAATCCAACGAAAGAAAATAATGAATATTTGCTCTAGGAATCTGCCATGATATGTAAATGAAAAAAAATTATCCATAGTCAATATATGAGTTGACATAAACCAATTACATTTACAAAGACATAATTGATTACATGATCTCAGTAGCTAGTAGTTACACCCCTATGGAATTTCAACAAATTTAAAAATAATATTAATACAAAGAAATTGAGCAACATGAATAACACAATGGAAACTAATATAATGAACGAATATGAAAATGCATAAGGACATGCATCTCCAAAAACCGAAGGTATGAAAGCAAAACAAAAATGAAGATAACAAACAAAATTTAATAAATAGAAATAAAAACTAAATTTACCACCTACGATGTATCAAATCATCCAATTATCACCTATTAAATCCCCGTCCCTCTGTAAGCATCAAGTTACACCTATGTATTTATAAATTTGAATTAATCTCTTAATAACAATAACTAAATCAGGGGCGGAGTTCAAAATTCCTCAAAAAAAATAATAATAACAATAATAATAAAACTATTCAGTTCCATGTCACTACACCATCCACTGAGGGTACTATAAAATTTAAATAGAAATTATATTCGAAAGAATGGTTTGGATATATTTGTCAATTCAAATTCATCTCTTAATAATAACAACTTTAGCTACCTTCTCTGTGTGTGTTTTTTATGCCAATCCAACTATCATAGCAGTGACTTTAAAAAAGAACGATCCCAATACCAAGTTCAATTAATGAAACAAAGAAGTAAAAGCATTGTTGTCAAGGAAGAAAATCTTAACAACTAAAATTCTGATATCTTATAATGGAGACATACTTTAGGGTAATTGCTTACAGAGTCATTTTCTACAACAAAAACAGAGAACAAAAAAAAAAAGGGAAAAGAAATTACTCTGGTTAGTTTGAGACTATGAGTCCCTCAAGATGTCCTTCTCTTTCTTAGCTACACAGGAACAATGACAGGGAACATGATCAGTATGGCAGTTAAATGTGGTTTTGGTTTCTACTTTTTAATTATCAACTTTTATTCTATCTACATAAGATTATATATTGAGGTGAATGAGATCTAAACCCCAGACCTTTGTTCTGGGAAATAATATCTTCACCACTTGAGCGGCACACGTGTGCTTTTAAATCAAAATCAAAATTCATATTTTTCAGATTTAACAGCAAGCAAATATGTCTTTGTGAAATGGTTCAGTTACGTCATCAATTCTTTCCTTCTATTGAGGTGCAAGAGCCATCACTGGCAAAAAGGAGCTTGCACTTTGCATCTGTAAAAAAACTTACTGTGCTTCTTTTTGTATATTTTGACAGAAAATTTGGTGGCATAATGACATTATCAATTGTATTTATTTATTTATTTTTGTGGGGGGTGGGTGGGGTTTGATTGGGGGAACAGGGAAGAACAAGAGAATCGTGTTAGCTAGTCAATATACCGTGTACTAAACAGCCATGTATTCAGGAGTGGCACCAATCGAAACTTGTGAGTCATACACAAGAAGTCCAACCTACAAATTCAAAAGGAGGTTAACTGACTATATAACAAAAATGACAAAGAGGACAACAAGTCAAACTAAAGTAAACCTTACTCTCTTTTTTTATCAGCAAAGTAAATCTTACTTTTGACTGCTTGCTTAACGAGTCTAAGTTTACCCCTCTGTTCAATAGAACACCAGCCAACTCCCGTCCTTGTGACTACATTTTTAGACAGAAAAGTAAACTGAATTCAATGTGCACCATGTTCAACAAAGAAGCATAAAACAAGTTACAAGTTCAAACACAGCAAATATGCACGTGACATTTCACCAAGGTATTGGTTCTGAGACATATAGGTCGAGGATTCTCAAAAGCTTCAATTAGTTCCATAAGTTCATTAACTGGAAACTTCTGTAGAAAATACAAATTGAGCAACATAAAATCCGACCTTCTTGTTATCACCTTATTATATTACTATTTATTGGTTGCTTGTTGGTTACTACTACAATTTTTAAACTACCCTGGTAGGTTAAATTGTGGAGAGGATTACTTTCTTGGAGTAGTGCTTATAGACTTTTTCTGCATGGCATATCTGATGATTGTTTTTGGTTGTTTGACTACTGCTTGCTGTGTTGTTGGTTGGTATTTTCTTATAAATTCTATTGAAATTGAAAGTTCAAATTCTGTTTGATCTCCTTCACTGTAGGACCACATCGAAATCCGCCAAAATTAGTTTAGAATTAGATAAGCCAGAATTCCCCACAACCATCAACCAAAAAAAACAAAAAAAAAGTATTGAAGAAAATAATCTGGCAAAGCATAACCATGTGTGAGGTGAGAAATTATGCTAAATTGTAGAGAAACCTCAGTTCATAAAACAGTCTCGCTTCATGACTATTTGATCAATAAAGTAAAACATCAATGAATAGAAACATAACAACATATACTATGTTCTCCATACAGAGCTTGAAATTGTTCATCTCCATGTCCTTCACAACATTCTCTTCACATTTTTTCTTCCTTCTGAAAGAACAGAATAAATAAATTCATGCATTAAAATCACTTGATAAAAGAATCAAATTTAAAACAATCAAATAGTACCAAACAAAATAAATAAATAAATAACGCAATATGAATTACCTGTGAAGTTTGTGAACTCGAACTTTAGATCACTTTGACAGAATAAATAAATTACTTACAAGCTTTTGCAACTCTGTCACAACCAAATAACATGTTAGCGGTCTGGGAAATGAATATCCCCAAAGCTTCAAGATGTAAGGTGTCCAAATCAATGTGATCCAGTCTTCAATTTTCAAATTAATGATCAGCAAGAAAACAGGAAACAGTAATTGAAAAAAAGGAAGGAAAAAGAAGACAGAAACTTGAATGGGAAATTTCACATGCTGCAGGTTGTAGCTTCAAATTTTAATTCAGATTTAAATTTGAAATTACAATAACTTATCCAACCAAGAACACTGAAACTAAACAACGTGATTCAAAAAAACTGCCCAATGACATAACAACAGAACATAGGAGTCCGCAATGGCATTCAGTAAATCATTTAAATATCAGAGAAAAAATAGAAGAATTTGGGAACCTAAAACTGGAATTCCAGCATTTGTGAAAGTGCTACACAAACTAAGTTGACAAAATTATTTTGTAAACTCATGAAACAAATATTATTTATTAGTAGGTACCTTGTTCAGATAAAAGTGATATGAGAGGTACAATCAAATGCCTTCTCTGTTTGTAAAGAAAAGCAATGCAATGAAATTCTTGCTGATGTTGAAAATCTCTCTTTTGTGATCACATTTTTGAATTGAGAGCCACTGAGGGGTTAAGCAGGTTTAAAAGTAGTTAAATTATTTGCTATTTGGTTTGGTAATTCTAAAAGTAGATTTATATAGCCAATGTTCTTCTCTATTTGGTTTGGTTATTTTCAGTTGAATCAGCTCCTCTAATGTATTTTTGGATAAGTTGTTCGTGGCTTCTTCAACTTGTTTGTTTTGTCCCATATTGTGCCTTAAAGCTCTTATTTTTTTATTTCCATTAAATTTGCTTCAGAAGACAGCCCTTTTCAGTCATGTGTGGTGTTTTCACTACACGCAGCAATTTGACATTCTTAACACAGTAGATGAACCTGATGACAATAGATAACACTATGGCCATGTTTGTTTGGGCGGACTGGATTAGCATTCCCATGACTAATAGTCCTAGGGGTACAAATCCATTGGATTATGTATCCTATCTTAACTAATAGTCAAGTTTAAAATAATTAGTCCGTACTTCAATTGTTTAATCAAACATTGGATTAGTAATTTTATTGGACTATTAGTCCAATCCCAAGCTCATGTCCACCCAAACAAACATGACCTATGCGTTTTATTTTTACTTCTTGGGATACTTTTGAAAAGTCCACCAACCAACCACAATACAAGACCTGTTTGCAGCTGGTTTGCCTTTGTTATGCTATTTGGCGTAATTTTATATAGAATTTTCTTTTGTTTGGGACTCAAGATAAAAACATGTGTTTGCAAATTCAGAGACCAACAGAACCATTTGGGTCTCAGTTGAGTTCTGTGTGAGTGAGTGTGTGCAATGCTTTACAGAGATTTGTATTTGATATGTTGTCACATTTGATATGGACAGTGACAGAAGAATGGTTATCATTTGGGGAAAAAAATAAGAGAACTTTGTCATTAGTCTTTTTAGAAGAAACTTTAAACTGTTCCTTTCTTTCTATAGGAGGTTCACACACATGTATATTCACATGTATGTTTATGTATAGAAATGTACCATATGTTTGTATGCAAGTAAAAAATTCTCTGCAATTGTGAAAGCAGATTCAAACACTTGGTGACCATGTCCCAATTGTTTCTGATAAATTTCTCACTTGAGCATAGAATCAAACAATTGGTGGGCAAAAAATTTAACAATTGTAAAAAAAAGACTGCAAACCAAAGCACAAATGCATGAACATTTAATTTGAACAAAAACAAATTCAATTAAACGTCTGCACTAACAAAGCTTGTAACCAGATATCTAAAACCAAATTTTAAACGAAGCAAACATAGGACAACGGAAGTAAGAAATGGAAGCCACAGCAACTGGGATATGGAAGTTGAGGAAATGTCGTGCCTCTTTTGTTTCTTGGACCAAATGCAGAGTAAATTGCAGCAAGGCAACAGTTTACACTTCTTTAAATAGCAGAACTTGTGGAACAACATCAACACAGGTGGCAAGAGGTGATGAACAGCTTGCTGGAGATGCTCAATGTGGCACAAAGCTTGGTGGAGAAGCCCAAACTGATGCAGATCTTGCTCGGCAATTTTCAAGAACGCTGAATTCGACATTTCACCTGGGTTAGACGCACTGATTTTTGAGGCAAGTTTTCTTGTTTTTATAGATGGGCTAAAGATAACAAATACATAATAAACATAAAAACAAGAAGAGTAACAAGCTACAAAAGTCTCACCTTTGCTCACAAAGATAAACAAACTGCCCCCAAAACAAGGAAATTCGTCAACAAGCTATTTGAAGATTAATCTGAAAAGCCCACTGAATGCAATGTTTTTGACCTAGATGAACATAGAGAAGCAAAATATTAATATGACATCTAATGATCTAATAGTAAAATTCCAATAACTCAACATGCTTTACTTTGTTTCATGATAACCGATTTTCCAGGCACTCATAAATCCTTCAGAGAGAGATTGTCATATGTTGTGGGAAAATTGGATGAGGAAAATTATAAGAAAAGTCAATATGATTTCTGACACTAATTTCATGCTAGTCTAATTAGGCAAAAGCAAGATTACTATTTGAAATGGGGAATAAATTGAAGAGCACATGTATATATAAGTAATCCAACACCAACTCAGGTTTTAATATCAAGTACAATATTAGGGTTTCCATCCCACTCCATCTCCAACTCCATTGTGATTCCCTTGGCATCACCATGTGTCAAAAAAATCTAAAGAGAAATAACACACATAAAAAAATGCTTTGATTGTCACCATATCAAATCGAGCAAATAAAAACAACATTACAGTTGGTGATGAAAAAAACAAAAAATTACCTCATTTGCCTACGCCACATTTTTCAAGTTGAACATTGAGCCAATTTAACTGCAACTTATCAATAGAAACACCATCCGTGCCGTAATCACAGTCATACTAAAATACAAACCATTATAAGCATACATATATATACATGAGTAGTGCCATATAAAAAATTAGAGCAAACTACCAATAAGTCCTAATAGTTGGAAAGCCTCGTTTGGGGACTGACTATTTTAGCTAAAAAGCCAAAAAGTCAACTAAAACTAGTCACATCACCTCTCTACTTTTCTGCACATCTTTTCGTAAAAAATCAAAAAGTTACTAAAAATAATTTTTTTACGACAATTTTTTATATATGTCACTAAAAATTGACAATTAGTGACTTTTTTTTATTATGATTTTTATAAATTGTCGCTAAAACTTACAATTAGTGACTTTTTTTATAACAAATTTTTTCCATAGGACTTATTAGATAATAAATCCACTTATTAGGACCTACACGTAGTACCCAAAAAATTATATATAACCTCTGTTATCAGAATCTTACGATTCGCGATTCGATTCCCGATTCGATTCACAATTTTTGCAAAATCGATACGAATCTATAAGTGAATCTCTCTTTTATCAAAATCTTACGATTCGCGATTCGATTCACGATTCGATTCAAATTTTTTGCAAAATCGATACGAATCTATGGGTGAATCTATTTTGGAAGTAAATCTCTAGTGAATTGCACGATTCACAATCGATTTACGATTCAATTCACTTTTTATGATTCATGTAATTTTTTAAATTATTGTGTCCGGCATATTTTCGACTATTTTTTTTTCTCATGTTTTTAGTGAAAATGACATAATACAACTTTTAATAGCGTTTAATACTAAAATAACCAACATATATACATAATTTGTTGTTATTTTAGTGATCATGAAGTTTTTAATAGAATACAATCAGATTCAGTCAGACCGAACATATTTTTAACCTTTCTTCTCATTTTTTTTTCCCTTTAAAAATTCATAATATATCTTCTAAAGATGTGTAAGATTAAAGTTACAATATGAATTATCTATTACTATTTTATTAAATTGAATATAATTGAATATTACATATGTGAGGTCTGTTATACCTTTGAAAATGTTTTAGGCTTTAAAATAAAATATTCTAAATAATTCTTTCTTATTATTTGCTCACTGTTACTTAGAAAAGTACGTATGCTTATTGTCCAAATATCAATATCGTTATTAATTATTGTTATTTTGGAAATTGATAATTTGTCTATTTGGTTATTATCTTTATTAAGAATGGTTGATAAAAAATATCTAAAAAGAAAAAAAGTAAGATAGTGATCTTACATAAGAATCTTTGTTAACTTCTTACCTATTAAACTACGTGATTATCACGCAAAATAACATTTTCATTGATTTAAGTCTAAATATTTCATATTCATAAGATATATTTAACATCTAAATGTGTAAATATATATTTTTAAGTAATTTTAAAAAAGTGACCGAATTTTTACGATTCACGATTCGATTCGATTCGCTATTCGGTACAAGGTCATTTCGATTCACGATACGAATCTCGATTTGACAACTATGTATATAACAATGTGGCTTTCTGGCCTAAAAGTATCAGAGTCAGATATTCAAGTTAAGCATTGGGCCAATTTAACTGCAACTTATCAATAGAAACACGGTCAGTGCCATAATCACAGTCATACTAAAATACAAACAATTATAAGCATACATATACATACACAAGTGCTGCCATGTAAAAAATATATTATACATAACAATGTGGCTTTCTGGCCTAAAAGTATCAGAGTCACATTACAAAAGAACCATTACAGTTACAGCTCAAGCCATGAAATTGATGTTATAAATCTACTCATCAAATAGCAGCTACAAGTCACAGATACAACTATAACTCTTGTGAGACAAAATGAACAAAACTATTAATATATCTAAATGGTTGGTCATAAATTAGAATCCAGTAACTGTTTTGATCATCACTTTGGGATCAAACGGTGATTTTCCATTTCTCTCTTCAAATAATTTAAGGAAACACAACAACTAATTTAAAGAAACCCAACAAATACATCTATCTAACAAAACAGTTTCAGACAGTTTATATACATCCATAGCAAATGCTGATTAGCGAAAGGATTGAGTTGTTGGGTAGATGACCTCTGTAATTGCTCTGAGTTTCAATGCCAATTTTCTGTAGAGAAAAAAATTACATACAAATATAAACCTTTAGGTCATCTACATTGAGAGAGCGAGATGGATTGGGAAACCGATAGAAGAGAGATATTGAGGAACCGACAGAAAGAGGTAGCTCTTCCAGATTGAGAAAGCGAGACAGAAGAGAGTTTGAGAAACCGAGAGAAAGAGAAATCCAACCTGTGAACCAGCGAGCGCGAAAGCGAGAGAGAGGGCTCTGGGCCACACCGAACTGAGAGCTGACCAATTGAAGCTAATTGGGGGAGGCCTTTCTCATATTAAGACAAATTACTAATTTTTAAGTTATTGGACGGAATTTTTAAATTAGGTTAAATTCCTATTATAAATTACATTTTTACTGTTTAGAGTAGAAAATTTGATGAATAATGAAAGTGTTATTACAAATTACGCTTTTAATTGAGAAAGTGTAGTTACAAATCACGCTTTTAAGATAAATTTATTTTTTTTTAAAGAAAACGTGGTTTCAAACCACGCTTTCACTGTGCATATTGTTTAAATTTTGTTTTCTGAAGAAAATATGGTTTCAAATCACGCTTTCACTGTGCATACTGTTTAAATTTGTTTTCTGAAAAAAACGTGGTTCCAAACCACACTTTCACTGTGCATATTGTTTAAATTTTGTTTTCTGAAGTAAACGTGGTTCTAAACCATGCTTTCACTATTTTCTTAAGAAAACGTGATTGTGAATCACGCTTTCACTATTCACTACAATAAACGTGGATTGAAACCACGCTTTTATTGTTCATTTAATTTTTTTTTATGTTGTCATTGTTTTGGTGATAATGTAATTTATAAATTTTTTTTGGCTTTACTAAAGCCATTCTCATGTTAAATTTTTTTTTTTCTTTTGTCTTTGTTTTGAGTTAGAAGGTGTAATTCAGAATTTTTTTTTGGCTTTACTAAAGCCGTTTTCATGTAAATTTTTTTTTTTTTTTTTTTTTTTTTTGTTTTGGGTTAGAAGGTGTTATTTAAAAAATTATTTTGGCTTTACTAAAGCCGTTTTCATTTAAATATATATATTTATTCTTTGTTTTGGGTTAGAAGGTGAAGGTGTTATTCAGAAATTTATTTTGGCTTTACTAAAGCCGTTTTCATTTAAATATATATTTTTTTCTTTTGTCTTTGTTTTGGGTTAGAAGGTGATATTGTAATTCAGAAAACCGGTTTAGTAAAACCGTTTTCTAGCCGTTTTCATTTAAAAATATATATATATATATATTTCTTTTGTCTTTGTTTTGGGTTAGAAGGTGATATACATGCTCTACAGTCCGAAGCACACCCACACACTGTGCAGTTGGACAAACAATGGTGAAGGGTGAGACGCGAAGAGCACCGCAGAGTAGGCCAAGAAGACGAAGGCCACCGTGAGAGCTGCAGCAAGAAGGAATAAGAGAAAGACCTCAAATTTTGGTGACGTATTTTTTACATACGAATGGTACTTTTTCCATTTTTTGCTATGTAATGTAACTTGTATGTAATTTGAATTCTGATTACGAACAGGAACTTATGTAATGTAAATATTGGGTTGGAGTTGATGTTATTGTGATTCAATTGGTTTCGCTTATTTCATAAGACTGATGTTGTGCAATGAATGAATGAATGTAAAGGTTATTTGTTTTATTCAATTGGTAGTGTATTTTTTGTAAGAATGAGAACGTTATTTGTTATATTCAATGAATGATGGTTACATTTTTTGGTTGTCACGATTGAGAAGATGAACAAGTTAAGAGAATGTGTATTTCTCATAAAATAAATTTTGTCAACATTTTTGTAATAAAACTTAATACATAATATACGAAGTCACTAATTTATTAAATACTCATACAGGCATGAAAACAACATAACTGAAGTTGCAAATGTAACAGTTTTCAGTTACATAGGTAGTACAGACATAAGTCTCCCACAAAAATACATTATGGATACCATGAACTGAACACACAATACATACATCCTAGACACCCTGAACTGAACACACAATATATAAACATAACAGTTAGACAAACAAATATTAGGCAGACAATCTGACAAACTCATTACGGAAACACTTAGTCTAACACAGACATTACATATTAATGCATGACCTAATATTGCCGAAGTGTAGGAATTAACACCTAATTCGCGCTTAAATCGGCAATCTCAGAGTCTAAATAATCCGAAAGCTCAGCGTCCGAGACAAGTTCAGGATCCTCCATGATACCCTTGATAGCCGCAACATTTGGTTCTATTATGTTCTTCCGGGCATCCTTCTTAACTATGTATAGTTGCATATCGCGGGCTAACCTACGGCGCATTTGAGAAATCTCACGTTGTTGTCTTTTACATAGTCGATCAACATTATCAGGATCTTCCTTTTGGATCTCAACAGAACGTGCTTTTGGCACCTTAAGTTGATTTTTCCGACTTAAGGTTTCCAGCTGTACCCGCTCTATAAATAGTGCGGGCCACTTGAGGCGAGCAGCGTTAGATAAACCATATCCTGTTTGATTATCAAATGGCTCCATACATGAACCTCCTTGAACTCGATAATACTTGGACAAAAAAAAATGTCGCTTCCCAAACCTGTCACGATAACCACAAGCATAATCTAAAACAGGTATTGTTGTTTCGTCTTCAACATCGCCACGTCTCCTTCCCCCTCCTCGTCATGAACTGTCACCCCTTTGCAAGTTCCTATAACCTCTGCGATTCCTACTCCCTCCCATGAATCGTGCAGCCATGCTAATTTTTTTAAACAAATGAATAGTAATTTCGTAGGGCGAAATGAGTTGTAAGGTTGTGTCTTCACCTTTAGTCGTTTATATAGTTGGTTATGAACAACTTTAGAAAGACATTGAAGGAAAAACCATAGAAAATAAATGCCTTTGCATGACAATCCCACATATACCAACAAGGTATGAGTTGTCACTAGAATGAAAAACAGAGAAAAGCAAATACTGTGTACCAAGTCACGTGACTTGATAATCCATCTGCATATACCGACAAAATAAGGGCATGCTCATTGTAAGGTAAATCAGTGAATTCACTGTTGCCATGTGACTTTCTGAATTGATAATCCCATATATATCAATAAGAGATGAGTTGTCAGTGTAATCAGAAAATAGAGAAAACTAGAGCCTGTGCACTAAGTCACATGACTTGACAATCTATCTGCATATACCGACAAAATAAGGGCATGCTCACTGTAAGGTAAATCAGTGAATTCACTGTTGCCATGTGACTTTCTGAATTGAGAATCTCACATATATCAAAAAGAGATGAGTTGTCACTGTAATCAAAAAATCGAGCAAAAATTCGAGAAAACCAAAGCCTGTGCACCAAGTCACATGACTTGACAATCCATCTGCATATACTAACAAGTCTCTCCACGATTTGACTACTCAATGTGTGAAAAAAGGAAGCTTATGTAGGCAATGTTGTGTTTCACTTAGCTATGCATTATTCGTTGTTACGACTAACTATTTTTATTTCATTGAAAAGTATGACTATTTGAATTTTTGTTATCATTTGAAATTATTTTAAAATCAACTTTTGAATATTCAATTTGTAATATTTTGGGAAACATTTACAACATCAACTGAACATTGGTCGTAACGTACCCATCCGCAGATCAATCGTAACAAATTTGTAAATCTCACGCATGCCCACTTAACCCCATAGGTATTGAAGATTCATTGTTATTTACATTTTTCCTGGAAATCACTCGTAATAAATTTGCAAATCTCACGGACAACCACTTAACCCACTAGTATTGAAGACTAGTGTATGAAAATATTGTTGGAATGAAAATGTATATATTAAAATAATTGTTATAAATTTTAAATCCAAAACTTACTCGGTTTTCGAATTTCCAAGAACAATTTTTTGGAAATTATTTAATCCCCCAACTGAACCAACCACTTGGCTTTGAGTTTGTTTGTCCTGCCCCCAAGTTTAGTTTTCTGTCAACTCCCCATTCCTTACCAGAGTCATCATTTTCACTGGACTTCCAAGAATTGGAAGGTGACTCTTTCTTCTTTCTTGATAGAGATTAAAATTCTTTACGTACAGGTCACTATTTGAGGAGCCCTTGTTGAGGGAAAATTTTGACTGAGCTATATGTTCTATGAGAACCCGAATATAAAAATTAAGTAAATAATTAAATAATAATAATATTACAATCTCAAATATTTTTGTGGTCAATCCTAAAGTGCAAATTAAATATTTGGAAGGCCTTTTAATTAATTTTTAAACCTAAAATAAATTTATGGTGGAAATCTCTAATTTAGAGATAAGATTTTGATAATAACAAAATAAATAAATAAATAAAAGCAAAAGGATAAGGGAGTCAGATTTTTTAAAGTATGTGGGTAACCCTAGACTCTCATATTATTCAACTACCAGCCATGAAGAGGAGAGAGGAGTAACTTTTGGTGAAAATTGAACAACTAGTTTGGTGCTTTAATAACTCCATCTCCAAGGTTGAAACCAGTATTCTGTGAATATAGTTATTTTGTATTTATGTTTCTGTGCATTCATTGGAAGATGATGGAATGAAAGCTTAACTGATTAGGTGGCCTCAATATATATCAAGTTAATTGTTGGTGTCAAATAGTGTAATGGGTATAGTGGATGTATGAAGAACAAGTATATGGCATGAGTTATATTCCATGAGTGTTTTTGCTTGTAATGGTGGATCTTGTGAGTGAAACGTGGGTTAGGTGGAGTACTTAGCCACCAATGTTTGTGAATATCATGTGTATTTTATGTAGTTTGAGGAATATCAGATGGGTACATAAAGTTGAGGGTACAATCTATGAGTATGAAATTCTGTACATAACCACAATCTTTAAAAATGAAGAAGCCTTATCAAACAGATGAATTTTGAACTGAAATTTTTACAGTTGATTAATTACATATTGAATTGCATATTAGAATTTTCTTATAATTTTTGGGAGTCAAAATTTATATTAACTGGTGCATTCAAATCTGTCCAGAAAACTAGTGTTACACAGTAATTTCGGAAGTGTTGTTTTCTTTGAGTATAAATCCGAAAAATATCAAATCAGCATCATTAAAACTGGTTACAAGTCTAGTTTCTTACATTTTTGGCCTTGCATGGATTGCTATTCTATACTAAGAAAATCGTCAATTTCTTTAAAGAGGTGCAAAAAACAATCTGTTTTGGTATAATTAATTGTAAGTAGTTATTTTGACAAGCAAATCAAGTAAAACCAATTGGGTTTTAAACTTAGTCCTCTA